CCCCCCCCCCCCCACCCCGGTCCGTCCGCTAGAGAACAGAGCACACGTAAACCCCAAAGGCATTTAGCCGTGGTTAGCACCTTCGCCGTGCCTGCTAACAGTTCCTGGTGAGTTGTGAGTAGTAACCAAAGAGAACGATACTGTCAACAAAAATCTACAACTTACAAAACAATTGTAGACTTTTTAACTTTTAGCCATTTTTTGGTGAAGTGTGAGCGACTCTAAATATAAAGATTGAATCTGTACTTTTGACGAGCGACTCAATTTTTTTTACAACAATGTCTATAGCCCTATTTTTCCAGTGGAACTGGGCGGCCTGGTTGCCTGCGAGCCCTGGCCGCCGCCGCCCTGGCTCACTTACAAAGTACTCCACTCACATGGCAACCTCCTCCTCCTCCTCACCTCCCCGCCCTTAGTCGCATTCGCCTAATGCCTTTATTGAATGATCTCCCCGGCGGCCAGCCCGTGGGCCCGCCGGCCGGCCCCGCCGAGTGGTCTGCGAACCCATTTCATTCAGGCGACAGCGACCCTTGCGAGCGGAGGGCCGACGTGACAGCTGACCGTTTTGGCGAGACACAAAGTGGCTCATTCGGCACTCTTTTAAGAGACGACAAAACGGCCGAAAGGGGGAATCAGCCACAGAGAGGTAAAAAGCAAAGGAGTGGTTAGAGGCGCTAGCGCAGGTGGACAACGAAGGAAAGAGAGACAGAGTGAGAGAGCGACTTGTATGGCTGCCAGTGCCTGGTCTAGTGCCTCTCTGCTCCGGCCCTCTGAAAACATACAAGTACATCATCCCCATATTGGTCTGCAACAGCTACTACAACCTAGCTAGATGCAGATGGCACACCAGAACTCTAAAACTCAAAGTCTTCTGGAATAATAAGTTAGTGTTCTGTGTTTAGGTCTTCTCTACCGAAATTTGAAGAGCCAACATTTATCATAGGGCTGATGTGCAACTTGAAGTTTGATGACATGTCTTGAAAACAAAATGGGAAGTTACATAAAATTCATTGAATAATGTACGTGAAGGAAGACAATAATTAGGACCACTATTTGAAAACATGCGCCAAGTTTTTTGATTGAGATATTAAATATATAGTGGGGGACTCATTGAATTATCCCACATAAGTCTGGCATAGCAGTTGAGTGCGCTGAACTAGAACCAAATCAAATTGTAACACGGTAACAAGAAACTTCTATAAAGTGTTTGACGGAATAACCTGTCAAAATAGGACAACCACAAGGAATATCCCACTCTCTCATAAAAAATTAATAAAACTGAGCTAACAGCAGTAATTTAAACAGAGTCCCAGCCCATTTCCTCAAGACATACACTCCACAGAAGCGCAGAAAGTTCAAATTTGGCAATAAATTCGGCATCGGTCGTATCCTAACCTTACCTGTTGGATGTGGGCTAAAAATTTACGTCAAACCCCACAGCTTGGGGAATCAAAAAGTCAGAACGTCACTTTCACTTAACAAGAGCTCCAAGCCACGCAACGAAAAGGGCTTAAAGTCAAGTACCGTGTACTGTACACTCGGGGGAGTCGAGTAGGCTTTTAGGGTGGCTGAGCAAGCGGCTGAGGCCTACCTTAAGGATTGTCCTGCAACCAGAGACGATGTTGCACTTGTCAAACTCTCGCTACTCCGAGAAGGGAACAGGCGCTGAGCTCAGCAGCTCCCTGCGTCACTCGCGTCGCGGTCAGTTTGCGGGAACACACCACACGCGGAATATATCGCACAAATATTCACAACATAGCAAAAACAATCCCGCACTTAGTAAAGATCCAGAGACCGTACACCCGTGCCGTGGGGGGCTCGGCTCGGCTCAGTCCGCTCGCTACTGGCGCGCTCTGTCGGGTGTGCGAACAATCTGTACGACTGCACGCACAGGGCCGCCAAGCTTCCGACGTCTATTGGAATCTTCCACTGATTTAATCGCACAAGTACTTCAAGCTTTGATGGTGTGATAGTCCATTATTAAAATTATTGATTCCCACCAATCTTTGACAGTTTTTCAGCTAGTCAATCCCAGTTGACACAGCAGGGAGGGGCAGGTGAAATCCCACCCCACTAAACTGAAAAGCTCCTGTAGATCGCGCTACTGTAGATGTTGATAATGGTAAAAAATGGCGTCAGGATCCTTGTAGAGGGAAGTTTTGTCTGACTATTTTGTACACCATTTCTCGCGTATTCTGAATACACAATTGCCTTGTGGAACCGCAATAAAGTAATTGGAACCAGAATTAACGACAACGCTCCATAAAGCCACTGTCAGGTATGCCTAATCAACAGTGTTAGGCTGTCTAACCAACTGTAACTCATCTTCCATTTCTTATTTTCGGCCCGCCGATCTCCTTGTTATTTGGCGAGAAGTTTTGTTTGATAAGAAGTGACACTCACCGTGGACACACAATCTTTTCTGGTTTGCTTCTGACGATTACCATGGTGTTCCCGTTAAAACAGGCGCGATTATTGTTCGCATCGTTTCGTCTCCTATATAAGTCCAAGGTTGTACGTCGTACGAAGAGGGGTATTACTATTTTATGAAACACCTAGCTTAAAACGAGTAAGATTTGGCATAAATACGATATTGCAGGAGTTTCACTCCTTAGTTTTGTGTGTATGACCGCCCTTTCTTTCTTGTTGCTTGCATCGTCTGCTAGTAGCTCCACATCGTGTTAGAACTCGCCCGTGTAAAAGTAACTAAATCCAGTTATATTCACACATTTTCACCCCAATACGTGCATGTCAGCCACGTCTGACTAGATTTTAAACCTAATTTTTTATCTAACTTCAAAAAATCGCATCTTAAACTTGGGTCTTTGCATAAAACGTTGCCTCGAATGTAAACAAAACATACGGGTTGGGACAACCTAACCCTATGGGTAGAGTGTGATGTCCTCAATTTTAAAATCTGTCTTTATCTGTCTTTATCAGATTGTTGGAACAATGGTATAAGACTCTCCATCATACTTAGATATTCGTTTTGTCTTGCTCATTAATTCTCTTTAAAATCTCGCATACATCTGTTAGATTATTCTAGAGTGTTATTTACTGCTTTTCTTACATTATGTTTTGTCATTCGTAGTTATCTGGTGAGATTCATTAATGATTTGTATATTTTTATTTTGTATTTCAGGCATTTCATTTCCAATGACTCTTCAATACTACATGATATTGAAGATAAGGTGACATATTACTGGTGTACGTCAGTGAACCTCTAGGAGGTGTTGCAATGCAGAAACATTCAAGTTGTACTTTGTTTCCTGACTGAAATATTGTACTTCAACCTCAGATGGAGCACTCCTGGTATTACAATCGTCTGAGCAATGCTTCAGCTACTTTTCCGCCAGGAAGCGGAGCAAATGCAAGTGATTACCACCAGCAATTGGCTGGACATCCTTCAGAAGGGAATGCAGGTGCTTCTCCTGCATCTGCATCCCAACTCCTTCAATTTAACTCAGGGTTTTTACCTCCAAACCCTTATCCCTTCTACAATATTCCTCCGGCCTCTAAGACAGGGCCATATGCAGCTGTCGGACAGACCCGGTCTTTGGCTTCAACCTCTAAGCCAACCTCTGAGGGCAGGGAAAACTACAACCCAGCTCATCATCAGTCAAGTGTGTCAAGTACCACATACTTTGATCACCAAAACACAGCTCCAGCTGCTGGCTCGATTGATTGGTCCCATCATAACCCTCATTTAGCCACTCAAGGGGCATTTGGTGTTCTACCCCATGAGAGCATCTCATCCTCATCTACCTCTCCAAAGACTGGATCTACTGACTATCCCTTTAATAGCTACTCATCTCATAATGCAGGTCACTTAACACCTGCTGACTATAAAAACTCGGGTAATTATCCTGAAGGAAAGAAAGCAACCCGGTCGCAGTCACCAGTTTCTTCCACCAAAACTGGATTTGCTTCCTATCCCGGAAGCTCCGCCAATTTGTCAAACTATTCTGCCCATGAATCCAACAATCGGACTGGTTATTCTTCTACTGACAAGTTTATTGGTAGTGCTCCTATTCATCAGCAACAGTCACAATCCTCAAAAGATTTTGAAGCTCTGCAATCATCAAGGACGGCAAATTCAAACCCTTATCAGGAGACTAACATCAGCCGTGAAAAAGAAGGAAGCTCAAGATCTCCAAGTTTCAGCTCTCCAAGTATTAAAATGTCTCATCCAACCAAAGCACAATCAAAACTTTATCCAGATGTACCAAACTCTTCTGCATCCAGTCCAGGTGCAGAAGTTACTCGAAATAGTGAGCACAACTCTAGTTCGTCCCAAAGGTATGCATCTGATACTAAGCAAGCTTCCGGGCCAACTCAGCATGTTCCAGGAACAGCAAGCTTTTATGACTCATTGAATTTCCCTTATCACTATCCCTTACCTGATGCAGCAACTTTCAACCGCATGAAGTCTATTTCAAGTGAGCTTTACCTTGCCTCTCAAGCTGGTGGTTCAGACTGTGGAAAAAAAACTAGTACCCAAGTGTCACAGCCTCCAGCAGGTGCAGTAGAGCATGTAACTAGGCCATCATATGCCATGTACAACAGTGCTGTGACGTCCTTGCCATCCACATCACCACATCAGCATGAGAGATCAACCTCATGCAACCAAAACAGTAGCAGTGCTAATTCCTATAAACCTGCGGCTCCAACAAATTCAGGAGATGCTACAGTAAGGATGGAAAGTGTGCAACATCAGAATGTTGCTTATCCTTCTGTGATAACAAGAGCTGTTACAACACCTGAAACAGTATCAAAACCAAATGTATACAGTGATACTAGACTCTATGATCGGATTCAGGACCCAACATCATTTTCCAAGCAATGCTGGGAAACAGGATCAGAAAAACTGTCAGCTGCGTCTCAATCACCTGACTCCAGCTCACATCAAAAGAAATACCACTCTACTCCAGTGCCGACTTATGACTCCAGCAGCACAGATATGACTTCAAATGTGCGCCAGCAAACCTCAAGAAGCTCTGTAAGTGCCACAGAGAAACAGAATTCGTATTATGACAGCAATTCAGCTCATCAAACAGCACTTCAAAATCTGAGCAGCTATCGTGATGACCCAATGTCAATTATCAAGGACTTACAGCAGCAAAACTATCAGTCTCTACAAAATATTGATAGCTCTAAACCTGGAGAAAAATTGTCGGTCGATCAGTCTGCAAACAGTAATGTAAAGAGGAAAAAACGTGTCGATAAACATGTTCAGAATAATGAAAATAGTGACTTCTACAACAACCGAGTTCCACCTCCAGCTCACAATAATGCGACCTTTCAACAACAACAAAGTGGGAGCTATTTTCCTAATTTTTCACCGCCATCTACCTCAAGATCTTATCCTGTTCCTCAAGTTCCGATGCATTATGCTCCTCACTCCCTGGTTGGCCAGCATCAAGGAATCTACCCCCCATCATTTTTTCCTCCCTTCCAGCTGCCGGGACAAAGCTCTACGCCCACCCCCAGCACATCTTCTTCCTCCCCAAGTGTGTCTAGCACTGCCCCACAGTCACCTGCTGCAATGCAGCAGTCAACCTCAAGTAGTGTCTCTGAAAAAAGTTATCCGGATGACTTTGTCCCGGCTCCAAACAGGACCTCAAGTCAGACGCAACCGCAACAGACTCCCCCTGTTGAAGTTACTCCAAAAGTAATTGTACCAAATGTTGAAGAAGAATTAAGTTTCCTTCAAGATGCTGGCCCAGTTACAATGATAAAATCTGAGGATGAAAGGAAAAAGATTGCCACCTCCGGCTTTGAAGCAAGTTTCCTGAAGTTCTTGCAAGGGGAAAGAGAATCTTCTCCTCCTCCTCAAAACCGTAGTCGTAAAAGTTCATATGTGAAAGCTAATCGAAATGAACTCGCTAAGCAATCTAAACCAGATGCAACTACTTCTACTTTAACTAATGGAGGTTCAGGAAAAACAGCCGTTATTCCTACCTCACCAGTAATGATGTCTAACACAGCTAAAGATAAGACAAAAGCTGCTTATGATCCAAAAGATGATCCTCGGTATTTTCCTCTTCCAAAGACTGATGCTGAAAGGGAAGTGAGTTCGGACTCTGATTCAGATGATGGTTCATTTAGTACTACACCAGTGAAAAATGTAGGTTCTAAGTCACAAGATCGTAAACCTGTAGCAGCAGTAGCTCCTCGGACTGCTTCTAGCAAACAAGTTGCTAAGGCAACTGCAGTGACCACCACCCAGCCAGGAAAGAGAGGAAGAAAAAGAAAGTCTGAAGGTGTGTTGCAAAATCCATTCCAAATAAAAAATTTCTTTACCAAGAATCTTACTAAATTTACAATAAGATTTCTCAAAGTACTTATTTGGCATTCTTACATTTTACAGCTATTTCAGTACCCAGAAGGGAAACTTCTAAGCGTAAAGCAAAAGAAAAGGGGAGTATACTCCTAGACGATGGAGAGGACGAATATTCTGGCAGAACCAAAGAAGGGACAGACTCAGATTCAGATCCTGCTTGGACTCCCATGCATAACAAGCCAAAGAATCAGAATGTAATACTATACCTTCTAAATTGTCCCAAACCTGTAATGTGTTATTATAATGTATAGCTGTCAATAACAACATTTTCTTTTCCTTTCTAAAACAAAAAATAGCTTGACTCATCTGAAGAAGACAACTCAAAGAAGAAAAGTCACAAGAAAGGCACTAAGCTCAGTGGACAAGGACGTAAACGATCTAAATACTCTCGTAGTGATGACGATGCTGCAAGCACTGATGATGAGAAATCCAAGAAACATTCTATATCCACAGGTATGATTTTAAATTTAAAAACCTATCTTCTCTCTCTAAAAAAAAATGTAGTTGTATAAGCTAACTGTGTTTGACCATAGGATTGAAAGGCAGAAGACGCTCTTCAAATATACAAGGAATCAGCGGGAACAGTAATTCTGCCAAGTCAGAAGATGATAATGAGGCTGATGGAGATGCAGAAATGTATCCTTTTAAGGTATCGTCCTAACTCTATTT